TATTCATCTGGGGACATCCTTACTTGTAGGTATTCTCTGGAGAGAAAGAAATCTAAGATCAAGGCAAGGCAATTTCCTAAGATGACAAAGGTTAACAATTGGCTGTAATTGAATTTGAACCCTGTGGGTTTGGCTCAATACTGTCTTTTTGTTGGTTTAGGGCTACACCCAGCAGTGCACAGGGGCTTATCTCAGCATGAGAAGGGATCCGGGTATGCTGGGGATCAAACCCAGGGGTCCCTCATGCAAAACTCATGCCCCAACCCTTTGGCCATCTCTCCAGCCTAAGATGGCCCAGCTGGGGCACAAACTTCAGGGTCTCATACATGCAAGGCATGGGTTCTGTCACTTTGAGCTATCTCTATGGCTTTTTTTTTTTGAGATCTCTTCAATTTGCTTATTTTATTTATATGATTTTTACTGTGACATAGACCCATTCAAAGCTGTTTATGATTAGGTTTCAGTCATAGAGTGTTCCCAAACCCATCCCTCCACAGTGCACATTTCCCAGCACTAGTGTCCCTAGTTTCCCTCCATCACCCCCCATTCCAGCCCCCTAGTCTGCATCTATGGCAGATGATTTTCTTCTCTCTCTCTCTCTCTCTCTCTCTCTCTCTCTCTCTCTCTCTCTCTCTCTCTTCCCCTCCCCCCCCCCGGAATTGTGGTTTGCAATAAGAGATACTAAAAGGCTATCAGGAATATCCCTTTACTTACTTTTAATACTCAGTTCTTGTCCAGCATGATCATTTCCAGCTATTATTGTCATACTGGTCCCTTCTCTATCTTATCTACCTCATCTCACACACAGTTGTGGTTGATTCCAACCATTGACCAGTCCTCCTAGTCCCTGTTTTCCCTTGCGGTGGATATTAGTTTTCAAATACAAATGCCACAAATGAGTACAGTCATTCTATATTTGTCCCTCTCCTTCTGACTCATGTCACTTAGCACGATACTCTCCATATTCATCCATTTATAGGCAAATTTCATGACTTCATTTTTCCTAACAGCTGCATAATATTTCATTGTCTCCACAACTTTTAACACTGTAATTTTGAGGGACTGGAGAGACATTACAGTGGAAAGGATGCTTGCCTCTCATGTAGTAAAGTAAAGTAAAGTAAAGGCCCTCCCGTTGATCATCGATTTGCTCGAGCGGGCCCAGTAACGTCTCCATTGGAGACTTTGTTGTTACTGTGTTTGGCATATCGAATATATCACGGGGAGCTTGCCAGGCTCTGCCGTGCGGGCAAGATACTCTCGGTAGCTTGCCGGGCTCTCCGAGAGGGGCGGAGGAATTGAACTCGGGTCGGCCATGTTGGCTGCGTGCAAGGCAAATGTCCTACCGCTGTGCTATCGCTCCAGCCCCTCATGTAGTAGACCTGGTTTTGATCCCTGGCACACCCTATGATCCCTGAGTCAGCCAGGAGTGAGTCCTGAGCATAGCTAAGTGTGAACCCCCCAAACAAAAAAAAAAACAAAAAAGACTTTCATTTTGTGTAGAGTGTCTTTAATTTTTCTACTTATAATTCCTTTTATGCCTGAACAATTTTTATATGACCCTGGGTATATAGGTATATAAAATAGGTATGCAAACCAAGCATTTAATGATAATCATAAAGAAGTTGATTGTAAAATAAATTTTTTCAAAGTTATGTGACCCACAGCTTTTAGCTTTTTTGGTTGGGGGGATTTGGGTACCTAGGAACAAACCAGGCTCTGCCATACGCAAGGCAAGAACCTTAACCTGTGTACTCTCTCTCTGGCCACTGACCCACAGTTGAAGCTAGGTTTTTGAGCACTACGCTCTCTGCCTTGTGTTACATGGGAGACTGTGTAGAAAGCACTAGACACAGTGGCTGGCACATCATCGATGCCCGTGAGCTGCCTTGGTCTTCTCTATGGTGAACTACAGGGTGTCCCAGGAACACAGGGCAGGGGTGTGCAGTTGTGGGGGGAGAAGTGCTAGGGTTGCACAGCAACAGGTCAGGCTGTTGAGGCTTTAAGACCATGCTAAGCAGTAGGACTCCCTTGAAAGTTCAGGAAGGAACAATGGAGGTCTTCTTCGCAGGAGAGTATTATCATATGGTCATATTTGTGATTGAAAAAGATCCCTGGCTGCCCATTGTGTATAGATGGGCAAGACTTGGAGGCATTTCTCACACCTTCAAAGAGAAATGGGGAGATTCCAGCTCAGGCAGGGGCACTGAGGTACAGAGGAAGAGCCACTTCTGTCTCTGAGATATGGAGATAGAGTGGACTGGATTTAGTGACCTTGGCCAAGAAGAGGGAAGCGTCAGAAGCTTCTCTTTGTTTCTGCGTGAAATGATCCCTGAAGCTTTCACTGCCAACTGAGACAGGAAGAAGAAAGGACTTCTTAGAGGAAGAGGTAAATTTAGTTTTGGATCTCGAGATCAGGAGTGGTGTGTGTGTGTGGGGGGGAGGGGTGCATTCAGGAGATGTTCAGTGCACAGTTGTATACTTGACCTTGGAGCACAGAGGTATGTGCTGAAGCCAGTCAATAGAATGACTTAATGAGGGTGTGTTAAGGGAGTGAAGAACCCAAGAGAGGACACAGGAACCTGGGTGCTTAAGCCATCAGCATAGACAGCTGAAGGGGAAGAGCCAGCAGGATAGTGCCAGGTCCCATTAGGCCCTGGGCCTCTAGGGTGAAACATGCACGAAGGCACAGAAAGCACCCTGAAGAGAGGGGGCTAGTGAATGGAGCCATATGGGCCAGAATCCTGTGGGTAGCATCTGTACCCTTGGGGCTGGAGGGCTAAGTCTTCTGCTTCCTTTCTGCCAATATCTCTGCAGTCTTTAATCAGCTTAGGAAGACAACTTTGATCCTTAATCTTCGTCCACCATGCAACTTGAAAAATCAAACTTTGAGAGAATTTGCATGCAGGTGCAAAAAATAATGTGGGAAGTCATGCCCCTTCCTCGGTTAGGCGCTTCCGGCTTCTTCTTTTTTTTTTTTTAGGCGCTTCCTTTCTTTCCACCAGAGCTTCAGACTTATCAGGACAGGGCCACTTCCCCTATAGGGCTTTTCCTGAGGGGGAACTTTGCATACTGGAGTGGAGATAAGGAGGAAGCAGACCCCAAGGAGAGAAGGGTCGGCCTCAGTCCTTGAACTGGGCCTGGAGATAAAAAGGACTAAGGACTAAGGCTCTGGGTATGGACACAGAGCCAGCCTGTAGAGGTGTGGACGTGGCAAACAAGGATCTAAGGCATCACCACTGGAGACCCCTTAAAGGTCATATGTACTCCACAGTGGGGCAGTGCTGCTTATGTGTCTGTGTATGTGTGTGTGTGTGTGTGTGTGTGTGTTTGTGTGTAGGGGTGAAGGTGAGCACTTATTAACATATTGTGCTCCAGTATGGATCTAATTACGGCAGTCTGAAGGTGTTCTTCCCTATTCAAAGTACTTCCCACTAGGTGCCATTGCTCTGAGAACAGAGTTGACTTCTTTTCGTTTTTTTGGTTGACTTTTTGTTGTTTGGGGACCACTTGAAGTAGGGGGTCAAGGGTGACTCCTAGGTCAGTGCTCACTGGTCTCTTCCAGTAGTGCAGGGAATCATGGAGTGCTCGGTTTTCTGCATTCAAAGCATCTATTCAGCCCACTGAGCTGTCTCTCAGGTGAGGGTTCAACTTCTTGATCAGGAAGTGGCCCCTGTTGACATTCCCCTCAACTCTCAGATCCTGCCCTCTGTCCCCCCACCACATCCACTCCCACATATCCACTCACATATGCACTCAGAAATATCTCACTCACACACACACACACACACACACACACACACACACACTAAAACACTCTCACACATATTCTCACACACACATGCACTCACACACACACACTTTCACACATTCCTGCACACACATACACTCACATACACACTTTCACACATTCTCTCTTGCACACATGCACTCACTCTTTCATTCATACACACTCACACACAATAATACACACCCATTCACAAACTCATACACTCACACATAACTCACACACACTTTCACTCTCATTCACACTCAACCCCCCTCACACCCCCAACACACATACCCCTCTCACCCTGGGGTCTTCACTCCTTGCCCTGTGTTAGACTCTCCCACATTCCTCACCATTTGAGACCCCATGGGGGGAGGGGAAATCTCTTTAGGGGCTAACACCCTCCCAACAGTCCCAGAGGCAACCCCTGGAGCAAGCAGTGAGGGCACCCTCAGGTGATGCGGGTTACAGGTACAGTGTTGCACCAACCTCACTGGGCCTCACCTGCCATTCCAACTTGGGGCTCTAACACAGGTTGAGGGCCCAGTGGATCTGAACAAACATTTCAGCAAGAAAATGAGTTTGGGGATAGCAGACGCATTTGGGCAGAGGCCGGAGGGAGGGCTAGGTGTCACAGTCTAGGGCGTCAGACAAGGGCTCAGGGCCGGGTCCCAGGGCAGCCCCCCCCCACCCCGAAATTTAGGACATCCATTTCAGTGAGCCTAAGGAAGCTGACGAGAGAGCAGAGGAGGACAGGGGAGGTCCTGAATCCCAGCGCAAAGGGTTTTGTAGAAGCGGGTGTGGTGGTCCTCCGTGCCAAAGTAGGGCCCATCTTTTTCCATCTCCCTTTTTCCATCTTCAGCAGGAGGGCCCGGCGGGGGCGAGTCAGTGCTCCCAAAGGCCTTAGAGGAGCAATCGTGCGTCAGGGAGGTGCGGGAAGGGGTGACCTTGGGAAGTCCCGGGGCGCGGCCCACAGGAGTGTGTCCTCCGCCCCCCTCCCCCATCCCCAACACCCCGGGGCCGGGGCAGACGCGGCCTTAGCCCGGCGTGGAGCAGGGCTGGCGGCGGCCGGCGGAGGCTGGGCCGGGTGGGAGCGGGACCGCCCACTGCGGCGTCCGGACCTCTGGGGCGCGCGGAGGCGGCGCGCGGGGCTCCTCCCCCGGGGCGGGGGTCGCGGCGCCGGCAGCTGGCGGGCCCGCAGCTGCAGCCTCAGCACCTGCCGCGGCCAGACGGCGCGGGCGGGCCGGGCCTGCGCCCCCTCCGGCGGCCGCCGCGGCGCGGGAGGCGGAGCCCGAGCCCGAGCCCGAGCCCGAGCCGTGCCCGCGTCGGTGCGGGGCGCGTCAGCCCGCCAGGTCCGCGTCGGCGCGGGCGGCGCCTCCTCTGCAGGTAAGGGCGAGGTCCCGGCGCCGCGAAGTTTCGGGGGACCCCCCCCCCGGGCGCCCACACCGGGGTACCTGCCCGCACCCCGGGCATCCCCCGCCGCGGCCGACGCCGCCTGCTGGTGCTCCGGGGTGGGGTGGGGGAACCCGGGGTCCCGGAGGTGGCGGCGCAGGGGGCGCGCCCGCCGCCCGTGTCGTCTCTGCACCTGGGCGAGGTGTTGCTCAAGTTTGGCGCCGGGGGCGGGTGTGGCGCGCGCGGAGCGGCGGATTGGGGACGCGCGACACCTCGGCTCCCAACTTTCCCAAGGACCCGCGCCCCGCGCTCCCCGCCCGTCCCCACCGCCACTGCGGGTCCCCGGAGTCGGGAGGGTGCCACGCCGCGCAGCTCCGCTCCAGGACCCCCGGGCTGGAGGAATCCCCGGAGTCCCAGCCTCGGGGGTCACGTCGCTGGTGTGCAGCGGCTGAGCTGTAGGAGTGTTGAGTCAGCCTTTGGGAACCGGGGTGCGCCCGGAGCGGGGGGGTAGGGGGTCCTTCCTGGCACCGCCTGTCACATACCCGCCGACTCTGTGACCTTGGGCAAGTGCCCCCCTGAGGTTTTGACTCCCGTAAAAGTGTGTGGGTGTGGCGGGGGAAGGTGGTGCGGGTGGCAGGGGAGTGTGCGTTAGGTGATGGCTTTCAAACCCTGGAAGAGTGGCATCCCCAAGTCTCTGTTTAGGGCTAGTTTCAGTGGAGGCCGTTTTCCCACCAAGAATCCACCCGGCATTTGCTCTCCCTCGCCCCCCTCCCCCCAGCGTCTAGAAAAGAGCCTTTTTGCAGCTCGCACCGGGAGTCCTGAAATAGACATGGCAAGGCTTGGTAAGCACTCGCCTTCCCTCCTTCAGTGCTTTGGACCGTCATGAAATATTCAATGGCATAATGATTTGTTTTCAAAGTGGCTTATAGATCAAGAAGTGTTTCTGTTTGTGAGTCGGTTATTTTTGTAAAAAGCCCCGAAATAAGTTTTTTTTTTTTTGGGGGGGTGGATAATGCTCTGTTCCAGGGATGCCCCTGATGGAGACCATCACACACTTGCTTCTAGTCTGTAGCAATAGTTGAGATAGTTTCCAGTCTGGAGGATAGGAAATCACTCCCCAGGGGGCTCTCTTTGGGGGGCACCATTGAATTCAGGGAGCCTCCTGATTCAAAGGTGAATTCTAGTGTCCTCGCTGCAGACAAGCCTCCCGGAGAAGGTACTTTGTTCTTTAGCCCAATCTCTTCCCCCTTGTGATGCATTTAGTATCTCCCCAGGTAGGGGTGAAATCCATTACTATGAAAGGATTCGTATGCAAGTGATTTTATTCTCCTATTTCCTTCCTAGGCTTCCTGGGTTACAGTTTCAGGCCCTAAGGAAATCACAGAACTTGCAATCCTGTGCTTTGCCACAGCTGGAACACATAGGGCAGCAGTCCCTAAGTTCGCCTTTCTCAGTGATGCTGTGGCTGGAGTGAATTTGTGCAGTCTGTCTCTCCCTGTCTTGGCGTACTTCCACTCTCTCCTGACTCCGTTCTTCAGGGCTCCAGGACTCAGGAGAAAACAAACAGGAAAGATACAGACAGTCTATAGGAAGGATGCCCTCTTCCCCCGGAGTTAGGAGTCTAGGGAGGAAGGATGGAGGGAATGGTGTCTTGGGGTGTCTTTGGATCTGTCCCCTGGGACTCAGGGTGATGTCTCACTGGGGAGGAGAGGGGAGTCCTGAACCATGGGAGGTGAAAGAGGAAGGAGGATGTTGGCAGAACGTGAAAGGAACTGTTGAGAGCAAAGACACAGAGGCAGGAAGAGCAGAGCAAGCAGGGTCCAGGACGGGAGTCTGGGGAGATGAGTCAGAGCAGAGAGGATAGGGGAAAGAAATTTGGTAGCTCTGAGCCTGACCTTGAAGCCACACTGGCCTTGGGGTATTTGGCCTGGCCTTGGGGTATTTGGCCTGGCCTTGGGGTATTTGGCCTCTGAGCTTTCCTTTTCTCACTTGTACCAGGGGAACTGGCCATAATTCAGACTTGCAGGGTTCCATGAGGTCCTGGGTAAAATAAAGTGCCTGATAAAGTGTTGGCATACAATAGGTCATGAGAATAGCCCCTTTTTTGAGCATGTTCGTGGTTGAGTTTCATGGCTGTTGCTCTTTCTGTTGGAGTACATGAACAGTGCCTTTTGTTGTAGCTGGTGCTTTGCCTCCCTACCTAGATGCAGTTCTTTGGACGATGCGTTTTTGAGTTTAGGGAGCCTCCTGATTCAAAGGGCGGGGGCTTCTCAGTTGTGTGACTGGGAGGGTGCTCCGATCAGACATGACATCATGGGCAGTTGGTGTCTTGTAAATAAGGTTCTCTGGTGGGAAGCCACAGAGGGGTTAACTGGAAGCTGCAAGCAGTACTTGCTTCCCACAAGCTTATCGCCACCGTGCTCAAGGACCCAGGTGGGGAGATTTAGCAGGCAGCCGCCGTGATACAAATACCCACATTGTCCATAGAGATGGGGAGCTGGGGTCTGGCTCTCATCTGCCTCCCTGTAGGTTGCCAGGGACTTGCAGTCGCCCAGGAAAGAGAATCCAGAAGGCAGCTGGAGGACCATGTTGCTGGACCTTGTGAGGCCGGGCATGATACTGTCTTTTGTTCATGTCAAGCCAAGAACCTCAGTGTGTGCCAGAGAATCATTCTAGATGTCCCAGGAATACACTGGGCCAAAAGACAACCCCCACCCTCCCACCCCCCCATCCCCCGTCTTCCAGGAGTTAGTAGGAAACAAGTAAATATGCCAAGAGGGAACGGAGACATGGAACCAGCTGGTGGTGGTGGCCTGAGTCGGAAGGAGCAGGGCAGCTCTGAAGGGGCTCAGCTGTGGCTGAGAATGTGGGCACTGTGGCCACACGATCCGAGCTGGAACCCTGGCCCCTGTGCCAACGGAACACATTCTACGGTCAGGCCGTGTCATCTTTGTGCTTCCCATTCTTCATCTGGAGCCTGGGCTGAAGAGCAGCACCCACCTGACTGGGTTGCTCAGAGGCTTATGTCGGTTGGTTGATAAACATAAAGTACTTAGAATAGTGCTGGGAATAGAGCCAGCCCCCGATAAGAGCTAGATCAAGGGGGCCCTGTCTGGGGTGGAAGTGGGGGAGAGAGAGTCCTTTTCATTAGGAGAACCAGTCAAAGTCCGGATATTCAGAAGTCTGGACACCTGAAAGGTGCCTTCTAGGACCAGACGGACTATTTGCGTGGGAACTACACCCCCAGTTACTGGGGAGACGCCCAGCAGACTCTCTGCACCTTCAACACAAAGCTCTGATAGAGGAGATTTGAAAAGAGAAGCATCGGCTGTGGTGTCTGCAGGCCCTGGGGGTGAGCTGTGCTGCTGCTCTCTCACCTCTTGGACCTCCCTTCCTGACCCTTTGTCTCTCCGCCTGACCCTCCCTTGCCCCCCCCCCCCCCCATTCAGGCTCTGAGAAGAGGTGCCCCTGGGCTGCTCATTTGTGTTAAAAGTTTGGCCATATGCAAGGCAAATACCTTAATCCCTGTTACCATAAGTGAGTTTGGGCCCCAAGTACCAGCAAAGCTAGGCTTGCCCACTGGCCCAGGGGTTCCAGTGGCCAGTTGCGCCCTCCTCGCCCCAGAGCAGGGGTGCAGAGCTCACGCTGACTGCTCCACCGTTGCCTCCTTGCCTAGTTACTGCTTCCCCCCCATCATTTCTTTTTTTTTTTTTAACCTCCAGAAGCTCCTTCCACCCTGGCCCCATCTTTCCACTCACTGAATGTCTGGCTTCTATTTTCTCTGCCCTAAAGCATGGCTTGGAGACCTTTAGCGGGTCTCTTATGGACGAGCACTGAAGTCTAGAGACCTGCAACTTGGGGACACTTTCCATGCCTCTCCCAGATTCCCTCCTCTTTGTCCCTTTTCCACTGTCTCCCCTCCCACCTGCCGAGGCCTCCAGGCCTCGGTCCCTGCACGAGGCCCCTCTGCTTAGCTCGTGCCCACCTGGAGACTCTGTTCTGTTCTTTCCACTGCCCCTGGCCTGAGGTTTTCATCCTCCCCTGATCTCCCATTGCTCTCCGTATCCTGCATGGAGAAACCACCATCCACCTCTGAGGATTTTATACAGGGTCACTTGTGACTGTGGTCTGGGGAGAAGGCAGCCAGTGTGTCCCTCTGACCTCCACCCAGCTCAGAGCCTGCCGTAGCGCACATTTGACCTACACTCGCTCTATAGCATCGGCAAAGCCCATGATGCTCCCAACAGCTGAAATGGTTTGAGACAAGCCAGAAGCGGATGCTAGACGCTGGTGCTGAGCACCGGGTTCCTCGGCAGAGCTTCCCTACATGTCCCCAGGCCTCCCCCTGCCGTTCCTTCCTTTAGGGAGACTGAGTGCAACCTCATGTGAATCTGAATTTTGTGCTTTGCTTTTTTTTTTTTTTAGGGGTGAGGCACGATTGGCAGTGCTCATGGTTGGGGGGGGGCACTTCCAGATCTATAGGGGTCTCTACTCCCCTGTTCTTAGGGATAGCTCCTGGTGCTGCTCGAGGGTGCTGCCCTGTGGTCTCAGGGACCGAACCCTGGCCTTGGGCATGCAAAGCATGTACTGAGCTGTTTCTTCAGCCAGAACCTGAAATTTTTGTTGTTGTTCTGCTTTGTTTTGGGAGGATTTTTTGTTTAAAGTTTTGGTTTGTTTTTGGTATCATACCCTACAGTGCTTGATGGTTGCTTGCAGCACTCCAGGGGTGGGGGAGTATGGTGCTGGGATGAAACCAGAGTTGGCCATATGCAAGGCAAATACCTTAATCCCTGTACTATATATCTTTGACCCTGAATCTGAATTTAGTTGTTTCATGCAGCAATAAAAGTAATTTTCTTAAAGATAATCTGTAAAAAATTGAAACTTTGAGCTGGATGTATTTTGCAGCAATTGTTGATTTTTTGTGTGTGTGTGTGGGGGGGGGCGGGTCACAGCGTGGTGATGCACAGGGCTTACTCCTGGCTCTGCACTCA